CCTAGCATGTGGGAGGCACTGGGTTCCATCCTTAGCACCACATAAAATAAACAAAATAAAGGCATGCTGTCCATCTGCACCTACAAAAAAAAAAAAAAAGACTAAGAGTCTTACTTTATAGCAAAGAGTAGGTGTATGTATGATCAGGATCTTCAGGGCCTACTGTGTACTTGACCACCAGAAGCCACAGCTGAATGGAGCTGTAATAGAACAGCCTTTCAGGGGTGCAGCTGAAGCAACTTTCAGAGATGATGTGATAACAGGCTCCAGGATGAAGTATGCATCCTAATTAATTATTATATGATGTTGTGTCCCAACATGTGGAATACTGAGGTCCAAGAAACCAGAGGTGGAAATAGAAAGGACTTCACTTACCATCACTGCCTGCGTTTCTATAGTTCCAGGCCCTCTGGGTTCAGAGAGTCTGATTCTCAGAAGAGAACACTTCCACCAGGGAGCAGAACAAGAACCTCATAGTCTGTGTGCTATTGTTTTAATTTTATAACATATACATTTTTATAAAAACATGTTATCTGTTAACAGGTAATGAGATTATCATTTTAAATGGATTAATATTTTACAAATTTCTCTCTTATTTTGAATATGGCAAGTATTGATAGGTATAATCCCTCTAAACAAAACTCATTGTAGACCTCAATTTTTGTTTGTTTTTTTAGATGGGGTCTTGCTGGATTGCTCAGGCTAGTCTCAAACTCCAGGGCTGATGTGATACTTCCATCTCAATCTCCCAAGTTGTCTGGGACCACAGAGGTGCAACTTCATGACTGGTTCTGGAGACCTCAATTTTTTTCTACCAAATGAAGACAAATAGTAACTACCTGATAAATTGCTATGAGACCATGAAACAATTTTTTTAATTGTTGATGGACCTTTATTTTATTCATTTATTCATATGTGGTGCCTCACACATGCTCTAACAATAGGCCACAACCCCAGCCCGAGACCTCAATTTTTAAGAGTGTAAAGTGATCCTAAAAGCAAAATGTTTGAGAAACCAGGTTATAGGTTGAGCAATACCATTACCAGCTGCCCACAGAGATTGCTCCAGAGATGCTAGTCATCTCCATACCTCTACTATTCAAGACCCCCCAATGCCTCTCCAACTTGCTGCTCATTACAATAGCTATGTAAACATCCAGCTTCTATTATCTCATGGTCCTATCATTCCCACTGCTATCAGGAAGCCAGTTCTGGAAGGGCTTCTTACTGACCCACAGAGGACAGCCCAAGGAGCTGCTCAGTGATTCTGGTATCCCTCTCATAGTCATTCCTAGTTGCTTGATACCATAGTATTCACTGGGCTCTCCTGCAGGACTTAAGTGATTTCTCACTGTACACAGAATACCCACCATAGCATGACTGCTCTCTGAGCTTTCCAAGCTCCTCTTCTACCTTCTGTTATCATGTTTCTGGCATTTCCATGGCACTTTGGTAGGCCATTGCCTTTCTCCTGTCTCCAAGGATCCTTATCAGGGTATTAAATCCTGCCTCACAGGAGTGTTCTCTCATAGCAGAAGAAAAGTCTCCCTAACTCAACTTAATGTTCAGCCCACACTCTACATCCTCTCCTGGCTCCTGCTACTCCATGTTAGCTACTTTAGGACATAGCCTTTTTCATTCCCAGCAGGACCCTGCACATTTCCAGTAGGGTTTTGTTATAAATTGGCTCTATTTATTAGTCTTAGAAATCAAGAGAAAAAGACAAATCCTTTGATGCTTAAGGGAAAGTTCCAGGGACAGTCTCAGCTATGAGCCATCAGTAGCTGACACTGCTGGCAGCTAGGGGAATGAGTGTCTCCATGCTGAGGGTAACCTAGGTGGTGGTACCCCATAACATCCACTACAGAGACAAAGTTCAACTGAGCTTATTAGAGTAGAGCAGGGATCAAAAACCTAATGCCCTAGAATAAGAAAGACTTAAATTTTCTGTGATCTTGGATAAGTTCTGAGCCTTTTAGAAAGTTTCTTCTACCAAATGAAGACAAGTAGTAACTACCTGATAAATTGCTATGAGACCATGAAACAAGGAATGCAGGTCTTGGGATAGTGCCTAGCACATTCTAAGTGATGGTTCTTGTTGCTGTTGTAATTGGTCAGAACTTTCCAAGCCCTGAAACAGTTGCCTCAGGAAGCAGACAACAAGGTACACCATATAGATGGTCATTTAGCCAATTCTGGAGAGTGCTCTATGGGGATATTGTGGATAAGGCTCTAGGGTCCGTGTGGGTAGTCACAAAAATGGCCTTTTGGGCCCAGTCTGTCCCCAAGTTGCCTTGATTCTCTTGATTTGTGCCTACCCTTCATGGGGGAGAGGCACTTAGAGAAGCATATTCACTTTCAGTCCACTAGGGGGCCATTTAGTTGCCTGCAACAGGAATCCACTAATGGTTTCTTAATGGCTCAGGCACCAGGGAGATCAGGCTCAATTATATCTGAAAGCATTCTGAGTTCCAAGGGTAAAAGACACTATGTAAATCCAGATAATAAATAGGGCTTATTGATGACAGGTTAAAGAATCTGGCACTGTTTAGTTTGGAGAAGAATAGGGTAAGAGGAATTGAATAAGAGCTTCAAGTATATTATTCTTTAGTATAGTAGAGTTACATGCTGTTTTCTTACTCTGCTGGGAACCAAGCAAGAAAAATGAAGTTTAATTTGTACCAAAAATATGGTGAAGCAATATGGAGTGTATTCCAGAAAGGGGATCGAAGGAAACTTTGTATTGACTGTTCCTGGAATCTTTAAAAATAATTCACCTTGGGATAGTTGTATGATCAGTTCTGCCAGGAAAGCCAGAGATCAGGGGGAAACAAGAGAGGACAACTTTCAGAGATAATTAATGGATTTTAACTTAGGAATTTTTAATTGCACAGGCTGCCTTCAAGACCACCTTAGGCTGACCTGAGAGCAGGTTGGGAAAGGAGTGGGTTATTTCCTCCCCATCAGCCCACAGAAGGCAATAAACACTTCTAGTTCCCATTGTCCTTGAAATTTCTTAGAAAGTAAAAAGAAAGGTTTTTCCTTGAAATAGCACCCAGCTGTCCATTGCTAGTGGTAGAACTACCCTCCATCAGCACTCACCAAGTGGCCCAGATAGAGGCTCAGTTCACCAGCACACTCAACTCTGGTAGCTGTTTGACTTCTGTGGGAGGAGGTGGTAGGGCAGTAATAATAGAGAGAAACTCCGGGGTCTGGAAGTCAAAGGTTCCTGGAGAGGAAGGGAAGTGGGAAGGAAAGAGGGGACCCCACAAGGTCAGAAACCAGGTCAGACTCTCACTTGCAGGAGCTATAGTGAGGGTTCTCTACAGACCCCCTTCAGGACCACAATCCTTTTTCACATACACACTCACACAGGCACAGTCTCCTTCATATATTCAGATATCCAGGAGGCAGTCCATACAGCCAGTTCTGAGAACACAGGAAATAGAATTCAAGGAGGAGGGAACCTGAAATTCTAGAAAGTCTCACAGAGAGGGAACAAGGATGGGGAAGGAAAAGACACAAGCAGGTGGAAGGATAGAGGGAAGCACAAAGAAAGGGGCTAATGAGAGTCCCAACTTGGAGAAGGGTTGTCAGCACTCAAGGGGTCCAAAGAACAAGCACAAACCCCACTGCTTGGCCCCTGGCCTGGAGCCAGGGAAGACAAATCTCACATTGGAAGGGGACAAGGAAAAGGGAGGACAACCACCGAGGCTCTGAGGCCAAAAGAGGATTACGGAAGGGAAAACCTGGAAGCCACACTCCATCAGTTCAGTGAAGCCCCTTGGGTTCAAATCAAGTCTGGAAGTCTAAAACCCAAAAAGCAGGACTTGGGACTTGTAGTGAACTTCAAGACTAGGGTGGCAGGAGAATCTGGAAAACAAACTCAGTCCTGGAGGTCTGGGGAAGTCTGGGCAACTTGGCTTAAGGCATCTAAGAGGACAGGGAATTGGGAAGATGCCAATAGGATCCCCAAGCCCAGTCGGCCCCTAGGAGAAGGAACGCGACCAGAGGTGGCCTCGGTGAACGCTCCAGGTTCCTTGGCTGCCTATCCCAGGCGTGAATCTTGCTCTTTAGGTGTGAAGGGGCCTGGGAAACCAGTTCGGAGATACGTGGAGCCATGCGCCAGCCGAGAGCACGAAAGTGGTGTGACCCGCGCGTCGCAGGAATAAACTGAGGCCTGGGGTCGCGAAACCCGGGCCGCTATTCCACCTGTCACTTCGGAGCCTGGGGCGGAGCGGGGAGGTGCTAGAGTTGACAGTTCGGCGCTCCGACCGCCCCTCCCCGCCCCTCTGCCAGTTCCTCACTCCGCCCCAAACAGCGTCGTTCCCCTTTTAAAGAGGCGCTACGGTCTTGGGTCCTCCCCGCACCAGCCCGCGCGGGGCGGCCGCGGCGTCGCTGCTTTAAGAACCAGCCTCCCTTAATTCTCTCTTAACTGGGCGTCCAGGCGGGGGATCGTTGCGCCCGACCGCAGCCCGCCTCCCCACGCAGCGTTTCCGGACCCCAGCGTCGCCCTTTTAAGAGGCAGCCCCCAGCACAGCTCTCTCCCGCCCCCTGTTGCCGGCGCGCGAGGCGGGGGAGCCGGGTTGGAGCCGAGCGCGCTGTCCGCGCGGCCACTGGAGACCGGGCGGCTGGCGGCCGGG